CCAACATGTACAAGTTATTGAAACCAAAGTATAGTAGTAGCATTGCGAAGAATATGACAATGTTCAATGTAAACAACAATAACAGTATTGAGAGAGAGGACATCCAGATTCTTGGAAGGAAGAGACAGAGACAGGGAACCCAGACCAAAAGGTTGAATAGTTGTGGTAATTCCACACCTTCATTGTCTGGTGAGAGTATAAGTAACTGCAGTTCCAGTGAGGAAACAGAACCAACAAGATTACACATCTTATCACCTTCTACAAGAAAAGCTTGTAGCAGTCCAGCTACCATTGCATGTACCAAGAGCACAGCAACTCAGATACCAGTGCATCTTGTGCATCGAAGTATCCAAACTTCAGGGTATGCTGATGTTAACATGCTTAAGGCAGCTCCTTTCAAACTGCTGGAAAGTCCTATTGGAACTTCTCTAGTCAAGATCATCCTACCTAATGTGAAAACATTTCCAGGAGAAAGCAGGCTAGGAGATGAGGCAAAGAAACCTGTATATGTGTTTTATCCAAATTATACATTACCTGATTTAGCTTTCTTGAAAGAGAAACAGAAAGATTTAGATGTAGCAAAAGTATTTCTAATGCCTCAGAAATTCTCACCTCCACATACTCATGAGTCTGATAAATTGAATTCTCAGGCTAGGGCTGCAGGTAACAAGAAGATCCCAAGTACTGGTAAACCTCAGCGACCCTTCTCCTGCAATGATGTGGAGGCTCTCCGCAAGAAGGGTTTTGCTCACATCCGAGACTGGGACTCTCTAACCTTCTTGCTTCCAAGAGAATATCGTCAGATATTAGCTGAAGTTCCAGAAATTGTACATCACATGAAGGGAAAGAATGAAGATTCACTCCGACCTCTGTTTTGTGTGTCTCCTCCACTACGTCCACGCAACAAGATTTCAAGGCCAGTGAGCTGTGACTGTTCATCACTTGTAACAACTGCAGAAGTGAAACCCCTTCCAGTTGGCAGTAACACAGCAACAAATGTATCCTCATCATCTAGCACTGCAACACAACCATCATCAGGCTACCGTGGTTCCTCCACCATCCTCACAGATTCATCTTCAAATCACAATCAAAGCAATTATAATCCTCTTTTTGTATACCGTTATGACAGCGTAAGCTCGGAGTCTAGTCTTATGATGAATCAGCAGAAACCGGCAAGTGCCCAACAGCCATCATCACCTCCACTACCCAAGCGTTCAGTCTCACTCTCAAGTGGAGGAGAAGCATCAGGTCCTGAAAAACATGAAGACTCTGGTATGAATTCACCAACACCACCTAGACCACCACTCCCTCGAGGAATTCTGCGTAAATCCCTGGAAAGCAATAACGGCAATGCAGTTCATTATAATTGCAAAGCCCATAAGAATAGTGCCAACAGCAAGAGGTATAGTATGTTTGAATTAGGAGGCATGACAGAAATTTGCAGGGATAGCAAGAAAATGTTAGTGCAGAACAAGCGGCAATCTCTGCAAGATACTGACTTTTCAGAATATGCTGTGCTATCAAAGAAAACCACAGGAAACTGTAAAGCAGCTGAAGGTACATGGAGGAGAATTCCATCAGAGAAAGATGTTGATGAAATGGAAGATGAATATGATGATGAAGGAGTAGATGCTGGGACAGATACCAGCTTCGAGGAAGGTCATTTAGATTACCAGGTAAAAGTTTATTCTTACCCCACAAGTTTGTATTGACACATCACCATCCACCTCGCTTTCTTTCTTTTTAAATTCTGTTTACCTCTCTGTCTATGAAAGCATCTTGACTCAAATTCAAATCACAAATGAAACATTTTCATTATCTTTATACATCCAAGAATTCAATGCCACTTAATTCATCCTGATTTTCTGATTAGGAAGAAAAACCCGTTTATTTAGGGTTTTTATTTCCGGTTATATCTAATATGTTTCATCTCATGTTAACAAAATATTGCTTGTTGAAGTTCTGAGTTTTATTATTTTTTCAGGTTCGACCTCCAACACCACCCATCCCAAGGACACCTGATGTAGAAGATAGGTACTGCTTTACAAAATCAAAGCCAGAAGAGCAGCCCAGGGATGAAGATGAAGTGCTCCAGTTGGAGGAATTTTTACAGATGAGTGGTCTGTCAGCTGTCTGCTCTGCTGAGAGCCTTAAAGAATGGAATGAAGCTGACACGATAAAATTACGTCAACAAGTCAGTAAGTTCCTGTCTTGCAAACAAAGTAAAGACACATCATCCCATCAAGCAACTGGTGAACTTGATGGTAAACCTGGAAGAACTCCAAACAATACTCCAGAGCACCATACAGCCTGTGACTGCTCTAGCAGTATCAAGACAGCAGGACAAAAGAAGACTGTGAGCTTTGCTGAGAAAGTGTGTGTTCATGTCCGTGAGGCAAGTACACCAACTGAGGCTGCTAGTGATAGAGTTCTGTCGCACACTCCTCCAAACTCTCCTAATATATCAACAAATCTTGGGACACACAAAGCATATCAGGTACATAGCTTCATTATGATTGTCTAAATGTTTGTGACAAAATCCAGTGCCCTGTTATTATACTGAACATTTATCAGTCGTCGTCTTCTAGGTCGTAGCATGTCTTGCAGGTGGTTACCAGCTTTTCAGAAGAATGTATCACTTCTGTCAAGGTTAAATGAGTTGGGATCAAGATCGTCTCAAAGCCATTTTCTCACTTTTCAATTTCTCTCCTGTCCTATTTTCCACCCTACTTATATGAACATTTTACAATCCGATCCTCATTCTCTGCACCCTGCAGATTCCTTTAAAACACTGGTAAATGAACAATTTCATTGATATGAGAACTTCAAATCTCAGAAGTAATGTACTTTGTTTATTGTAGCCTCTACAGTGGCCTAATGGTAGACATTCATGATTAATGTTCAGAATTCCATGTTTGATCTCTTAGATCAGATGATGGTGATTGGTGTCTAGCTTCCAACAAAATGGTACCTTTCTGTTCGTTCTGTAAAACAGTTGCTGGAAAAATGCTGATATAATTTTCATGCTAACAGTGCAAGGCAAATCCCCCATTGGTGGATATGCCCATCCGAGAGGAAGTAGAGTTAAGTCCTGATGGATATGCCAGCCCACCATCCGAAGGAAGAAGGGTAGCCATAGTGCCAACCATTAGTGTGGCCCAGCGTCCCATTCCTGTTGACCTGTCTCAGAAAAGGGGTGAGTTATAGTTTTAAGAAAAGTAAATCTCTAGTGAATAATGGAGGGCATCTTATTGCAGAAGGATTTGCTGCTACAGGAAACAAGTTCTTCTCTAAATTTATTAACCATGCTTATGATTCTGAGTTCAGCCAAATGCACAACTTCACCTTTTCCTTTTTGATTTGATTGCCCTCATTCTGTGGTGAGGAATACAAACCATAAAGCACCTCATAATGCAGTTTTCTCCCTCCTGTTACTTCTTCTGGCTTAGATTAAAATATTCTCCTCAACATTTTATTTTCAAACACTGTCAAACTATTTTCTTCGATTTAGTGAAAGACAAAATTCTGCACCCATACAAAACAAGTAAATGTAATATTTGTCTACTGATTCATCATTCCAGACCAAAAGCTATTTCTAACAAGACAGTGTGAAGGAACATAAATTTTGATATGACACTGACTTTATTAAAACTTATATATTGTAAGATAAAATTACAGTAATATATTTTTAGGTGTTCTTCATGCTAAGGCATGTCTGTCTGCGTGTTTCTCTCATGTTATTTCTAGGAGGTAAGAAAACTGCATGACCAGGGATCATCGTTGTGCAACAGTGGAGACCTATTGTTATTCCTCTTCTTACTTATGTTACTGTTATTCCTTGGCCTTGCCTTCACAAGGCCAGACATTCCTTTTCCTCTATAAACTCATTTTAGATCATCTAGGCCTCAGGAGGGCCAGGATAGCTTCTGAGGAGCTTATTGCATTAGTACAAGAATGGCCTGCATTATGTGGCATGAAGAATGACTTTGAAATGTCAGTGTACTCCAAAGAGTACACCTTCTAAATCATGTAGTATATTGTGTCAGAATTTCCCTCATAAGTGAGAAACCAATCTTCAGACATGTGTGATTAGTGTGATAATGTAGTATGGAGCTTGGTCTACTGGGTTGTGATGCTGTGTAGACCTGTAGCTGAGTTCCAACATTTTAGAGGTGTATGTCCTTTTCATTTTCAGGCCCGAAGTGCAGCACTATGTTCCTCTCAAATGTTGGTACCGATCTACGAGACCACACAGCATCACAATCCACCTCAGAAAGGCCACCATGGACATTTTCACCACAGTGAAAACCTTAAATCTTTTATAATATTGAACTGTTGCTTACAGAGCTTGTGACTGCAGTCAGTGATGCAGTGGAACAGATAATCTGCCACTTCTCAGCAGCTCAGAACCAGGCACACCTCAACACGCTGGGAGACTCAAGTCACACCCCAGCCTGTGCCCAGTTGGCACTCGCCAAACTGTGCCCTGCTCTGTATGCTGTTCTGTGTGATGGGCTGCAACCCACTCTGAACACAGCTTTTGGTTCCATACAGAACTCAGTGTGGCAGGTTGTGGAGGCTTCAGCTCAGCAAGGTGAAATATTTGTTTATATTATCTTACGTTAAACATTACCAGCTCACATACAACACATGGTTCTCTGATGAAGGACCATCTCAGTATTAAAATTGATTAAAATTCTCCCTGGCTTTCGAAGTATGTTGATGGGGAATGGGAAATACATAAGGGCATCATGTCAGATGGGCATATCAACAAAATACTTGATTTACGGGAAACTAAATTCTTATGTCTGTTTGGTTTGAAAAATGTGCATTATTAGTGTTCATGTGCCCAAATGTAACTGTATCCCTTTGTAGAGCAGCATCAGAATTATGCCCTTCTGGCATGGCATACAGCCGATTGTTTTATGAAGATGTATATCTTCTGAGTTGTTGCACCATGTAGTCTGGAAGAAAATTACCATCGTTTCAGAGGTCCTTGCTGCCTCCATCATTGCCCTGATGATGAAGGCAACAAGGGCCTCTGAAACATCAGTAAACTTTTACCAGACAACCATCTTCAGACTCACTGCCATGAGAAACTCAAATCCTACAATTGTTTTATGCTGTTAGACCAGTTATTTCTAATTATGCAAATATGTTTATATGCCCTTTAGGCACGATGCCCTCAAAATTAATTGTTATTGTAGTAACCCTCTAATTCCTCTTAAAAGAAAAAGAAACTTATGATGTTCTAGTGCAGGTAGTTTAGTTATAGCATCTGATAATATGTATTGTCCACTCAGGTCCCATGACAAAGGCTCTTAGTGACTTGGTCCTGAGGCTGAATGGTGAAGATGTCCTTACAGAGGGTCTAATGAAGTTCAATGCATTTGTTTTTGGACTCCTGAAGTAAGTACATTTTCTCAGTATTTAACACGCTTAGAGTCAGACTTATGAGCTTTTGCAGTCCCGCAATCCCTGAAGCCTGGCCATTTTCCAAAAATAATATTTTCCATTAGAAAAGCATTATGCAGAAATTAAATTACACATGTACAAATATCATAGATTATGTTGTTCAGCATTATCTAAGAAACACTGCTCCTGTTGAGGTATGACTTATGACTAGAGTCAATTGTGTTGTGACCATTTTGTAAAGCCTATGGCAGTTTCTTATATACGCAACGTCATAATTGATGAAAACAATCTTTAAAATGTTTAACTTTATACTGTAACACATTCCAGAAAACCATCCTTCTGGTGCTGGAGTTATGCGTAAGCTAAATAAACTACAGCTTACAGAACCACAGTTTGAGTGGCCTTCAGATACTGATATATTTTTTCAGATAACTATAATATATGAGGGGCTCTTTAAATCCAAATTCATGCTGAAAAGATCCTGAGACAAATAAACTGTACTTACTTACTTAGAAGACCTGTTCTTCAGCAAGGACAATTGTCCTTGCGCAGGTCCCATAAACCGTAACTGAAATCTTTTAGTATTTAAAGTTGGATGTAGGCTTATGTCAAAAGCAACCTATGTAATGTAAACAAAATATGGATTCCAGTGACTTAACAGGTAGAAGAACTGAACAGTTTAGCTGGCTATTTTCTTTGACTTCATACCTGCAGTTCCAGATGTGTTTTAATTTTAAGAATGGACTCGCACTACATTGTCAGTTGTGAAGAGTATACTCAACATAGTTAACCCCATGTCCATATTAATGTTTTCTGAGAAAGCAGTGATCACTCGACAAACAGTTAAATCCATTTTTTAAATTTTTATAGTGGTCTCATCTTTATCATTGCTTAGGTCCTTATCAAAGTATTAATATGGCCCTGCATCCTTCACTTCTTCCATTTTTGATTTCTTAGGTAGCCCTTCCCATCGTACCAAATTCATGGAGCAGAATCCTTATTCCTTGCCATTTATTAAACTTGAAGGTTGTTACCCTGTTTAAAAAACCCACCACTATTCCCTAGTTAAATCCAGTTTACATCGTCACCCTTATTTATTTAAGATAAAATATTATTCTCTCATCTGTGGTAATATACTAGTAAGTTGATTGATGGTTCTCCAGATTAATATTGCATAAACTTGTTTTCCATAGTGTGCGCTCATTAGATGCATGGACAGGATATCTGCGTACAAGAGAAAGTGTCCTGCGCAAGCATTACACAACAGAGGGTCTCTTTTTGCTGGCAAATACTGCAGGTGCCTCTGTAAGGGCACTCACAGACCAGCTTCTTGCATCTCTTCAGCCTTTGTCTCTTCTGCCATTCAAGTTGGATCTACTGTTTGAGGTTCGGCAGTTGCACCTCAGTCTGCGACGCATGGGCTCCCTTCCTCAACCAGACGTCTCTAGCCAACAGGTATCATGTATTGTATGAACAAATAAGTGGCACAGATGACAAGTTTTAACTAACCTACAACATGGAGCAAAGCTCTTCTTAAGGAGCTGAAGATGATCAATATATTCCCCGCCTTTTATGAAACCTGAAGGTTCATTACTGTGTTTTGAAGAGCCTACCACTGGATCCTGTCCTTAGCCACATGAATTTTGTTTATTCCTTCATACCTTATTTATTGAACATATATTTTTATATTACCATCCCATTTATGTTTAGTTCTCCCAAGTAGATTCTTCCCTGCATATTTTCCAACTAAGATTTTGCATAAATACCTCTGTTCCTCCGTCTTCCGTGAAAGGGACGTCTTGAACATTTCACAGTATTCAGCTGGTAAAGAAACTCTCAGTCTTTCATGGAAGCAAAAAGCTAATTTCTCAGCATCTCCTTAAGGACAGGATATGCGTCCATTGGCACAAACATCCAAAAAATTCAACAACTGGAGATTGGTTTACCATGTTATGCCTTGGCTGGATTTCTTCATAAGATACTGAGCATGCTTGCTGGAAAATCAAAATCTTTTGTGAAGAATTCAGACCGGTTCATATAATTGTTAAAATCAATAAATCTAAAGGGTTCTCAAGGAAGGGTAGTTTTTACTTGACAGACTCTTCTGAGTACTTCCATGGCTCTGTTTTAGGGCTGTATTCTAGGGCCACTGATGACACCAGCAGTAGGCATATATGATAGAGGACATAATATTTTGTATTTCTCCTTCACAGGGTTCCTGGATTGGGTGGTTTTGGAATTGGTATATTTTAATTTCCATTTCCACATTTGCTTTAATCTTGACATTCATATGCCTTATTGGAATTGTTATTGTTAATCTTATCATTATGTCCCATTGACGTAACCCAATCTCAGGTTCTTTTGCACTTGCAGTTGTTCTGACCTAGACCGTTCAGTGAATGAGATTAGCTCATTCTGTTGGACCACACAGAGTAAACGTCCTTCCCCTTCATCACACCCGAAGACAAGAACAGATCCAGCCCTCGAAACATTGTATAATTTTATAACACCAGATGATGGACAAATCCAAAAACCCAATGGTCTGAGAAGCTAATTTTTGTATTTGCAAGAGCCAACCACTGGACCATGTCCTGAACCTCATGTATATGACTCCAAGAAGATTTTGATAATGTATTAGAAACCAAGGAAGACTTTTATGTAAACGTGTAATGTGTTATTTCATATTGGTTATTTTGCAGTCTTCCACATCATCTCCTACAAGTGGAAGACCCTGGACCCTGATGAAGATTGTACGATCGATTCAGAATAGTCTTAGTCAGTCTGGTGATGAGGAAAGCCAAGGAGGCTGGTACCATCGCAGACCAGTATCATCAGAGCTGTTGCCACAAGCTGAAGAAACAGCACACCATCCTAACTGCACTTCAGGCTCTTCAGGCAGTCCTCCTCTTCCAGATCTGCTGGACTCCTCTTCCTGTCCTCACAAACCATGGACTGGGGAGGATAAACCAAGACCTCGATCATGTGTTGATAATACAGTCCAGGGAGGAGGAGGATTCTCACTTGTAACAGACATAGCAAGTACAGTGAAGAAACGTTGGAGTGGCATACAGCTTAGCTCCAAGCTTTTCCAAGCATTTGACCGTCTAGCAGCAGAGGACACAGAGGAGGAATATTCAGACAGTCTGGAGAATAAGCCAAGAGAAAGGAAAAGACAGACATCTAGTTCATCAAACAATTCAACTAGTGACGACTATGCAGATAACATCAATAGAGATGAGTCTGCTTCACCAGCACCTATGTCGGCTGAGCAAACTGTGAAGACTAATGAGACAAACTCGGAAGAGTCTGTACCAGAAAAGAAGCCTGCTGCTGGAACTGGAGGAGGCAAGTTTAGAAGGTTGCAGATGAAGTGGGAAATGTTGAGTGGTAAAGAAGTAAGTACAAATGAGAAAGTTTCACCAGGAGGATTGACTTCACCAGGTCAGACTAGTGATAGTGCTGGTGGAAGCACCAACACCAGTGTTACCGGTAGTTGTCGATCAAAGATACCACGTCCTGTGAGTTCACCTATTAGAGCTTCAAGTATCCCTGTCCTGTCTCCTCAACAATCTACTCGCTCTAAGAAGACTGCTTCAATGCCACCTACCCCTACAAGCTCATCACAACTGAAAAGGCCAAGTAATGTCAGTGCCAAGATTAAGATCAGCCCATCAGGTATAAAAGAAAACAGTGATGGAAAAGACAGTACAGTTAGACCTCAGACTGGTAAATCTGCAAATGTAAATATTACACCCGTTGTGAAACGTCAGCCCTCGGCAGCGACACGATGCAGTAGAGTGGATCAGTTGCACAGTGAGGAGCAGGGACATGGTCCCAGGGTACATGCAACTAGACCAAGTAGCCTGCCATATAGACCAGCCAACACAACACAGGGGAACAAGAGTGGACAGGCAGCAAGTAAGACAGAGGTACAGAGGAGAGCTGCATCCTCGTCGCTTAATAGACAGAGGCATGGCGACAGTCAGGATGGGCCAAGGTAATGTGCTACTTACTTACGTTGAAGGGCTTCATGTTTTGGTAATATGAGAAGCAAATTGTGTGTATAGTGGTGCTTTGTTGGAAGCCAGGATTACTATTATACATTGTTGAAGTTCTTTAAGTGTAATTATTGTTCTGACCTTTCTTGTAATTCCTGCCAAAAGTTCTGGTCTCATTGCTTAGGAACTTCCGTAAAACTTCATTTCTTTACTATTACTAGCAAGAGTGCACATTTTGTTCTTAGGTTTTCCTGGGTTGTGATGGCATGTAGTGGTGGTTACAATCATTTTGGAAGAACATATTACCTCCATCTTCAGCATTAAACCCTTAATCCCGAAGATGAAAGTGATATATTCCTTTGAAATGTTGATAACCACCTGAAAGACTACATGGTATCACAACCCAGAAGACCACATCAGCATGATACAGCGTAAGATAAGCAACATGTTATGACTATGATATAGTTATCTACATGGCACATTTACTAAAACTCTTAATTTTTTTCTAAAACAGTTTCCAGGTTTCTATTGCCTGTGGTTTTAACTATATTGTTGCAGGTATGTTCAAACATTATATCATCGCCTACCTTCAGACAGCGGTCACTTATCGTTCAACGAAGGTGAACGACTGCGCCTCGTATTGGAAGTGGATGAGAAGTGGCTACTTTGTTGTAGGGGCAATCAGAAGGGGCTGGTTCCAAGAACAGCTGTAAATGCAGGTCTGGTACCAAGGCAAGCTGTGATTGCAATACAAGACAACATCTCAAGATTTTAATGATGATCCAGGATATGACAACACAACAGTGTCACAAAACCCAGCTTGTAAGACTGTCTAAGGCAAGAATATTATGAGGCATTTCATACCAAGAATAACTTTTATATACAAATATAATATAAATAAAATATTCCCATTCTTCAGCAGAAATGTAACTCTTATAATGGTCTCTGTCTTACTGTATAGTATACTAACAACACATTCTGCACAGTATATATATATATGTGGGTACTTCGCTTGTAACTATAGTACAACATATCTTATGTATCATGCAATGCTGATTTTGAACCATAATCTTGTGACCAGCTGACTGCTTCTTGATATGAAATGTCTCATTTGTCTGAAAGGATGCAGTTTCCTGCCCCATATTATTATATTAAGCACAAACTAAACTTTAAAGACTTTTCTTGTGAGATGATTGCAAAGTGTGATTGTGTCAGGTAAAAGTGAAAGAATTAAGGGAAGAAGATTAGCTTCTGAGTGTTGTGGCTTTATGATGTCAGGGTATTTGCAGATATTGATGAAATTAATTGCCATGCTGCTTGGTCCTGTGTTGTACTAAATACTTCTTTATTATGATGTAGAAATAATGTGTTAGATCTGTGTTCCCTGTATAAGCTAATGACAGAGAATTGATCTTAATGATAGATATTAAGTTTGCAAGTAGTAGAATAAATTCTTGCAGCTGCCAAGAAATTTTTGACCCCAAGTTACTGATATTGTGATAATCCTGTCTTAAATTTAATGATCCTCATTTCTTATGTCTTTATGTGTGTTCATTGTTCTTGTCACTTCGGGCTTGAAGCTGCTTGTATGTAATCTCTTTAACAGCTTTAGCTTTGTAAGGCGACCAGTAGTTGGCACCGTTCTGTAGCGTTTATTCTGCACCTGAGCTTGCATGGGCCAGGTATATCCCGTTGATACCTTGTGGACCCCACTCCCAGCTCCCTCTCTGTATTCATTCTTGTGTAGAATTTCTTCTTTGTGTTTATTAAATTTTCCATTCAAATTTATTTTTCCAACTTGTTATTTGCTTCTAAATAAATGTTTTACAGTTATCAGGAACTGAAGATTTTTCAAAATGGAGCTCACAGCTACAAATACAAAACTTTGAATTTAATATTTAAGCACTGTTCCATGGTTCAGCACTGGATAAAATATTAATAGGAAGAACTGGAAAAGAGTAAAAATATCAGTTTCCTTGTTATTTATGTATAAAATTAACATGAAATGTGTCACAATAAATTGGAAACTAAAATGTGTTATTTTTGTTCAGGCTTGCAAAGAACAGATCATTCATTACAATTTTATATCAATTCTGCTCATGAGTTGTGCAGCTGTGCTGAATATTGCATGAAATAATTGTACAAAAATTGACAAAATTAATGTACGATAGGTGAAAAATGTAGGACGCTTATACAGCAATTTACTGATAGACATCAACATAAGATGTTCTGACAATTTGTCTGTTATGCGATTATGTTAAAGGAATGAGAGGCATTCTTGTGAAACATTATCTGCAGTAACTAAAAAAAATATGGAGTACTTGTATTTTAATACTATTTTAGAGACTGCAGGAAGTTCCTTCACAGAGTATCGTAACTAGAGCATTTATCAATTCATAGAATTAAACGGTATTTTTAATTTTCAATAAATTTAACTGAATACACACCAGTTTTGCAAGTTTGTATATGGCTGATAACTTCATATGATCTCCATAGATTTATGAAATTCTGTAATGTCAGAATATTATGACAGCTGTTAGAATTTATTCTTGTGCAAGGTTGCTAGTTCTTACCATAATGAAAAATCTTTCTTTTTTTCTACAAGTACAAATACTGGTATCATGACATGCATGTGATGCAGTAATGTATGCAATCCTCTCTGCACTCCCTAATGTTAATCTGTTCAATGTTACCAACCCAAGATAATATAAGACCAAATATGTGGGAATGAATAGCATAGTTGTTATAACAGTATGTGATATATTTATATTCTAGGGTAAAAACTCATCCCATATCCCTTGTGACGTATATGTAGGTTTTGTTTAACGTAGCAATATATAGATAATATTCCAGCAAAAGTGACAATTGACTAAGTAGGATTTTAGGTTCATGGCAGTGACTCCCAAGATGACTCTTCTGAGCGTAGCACTATGCAGTCTGGTAGAAGTTTACCAACCATCAGAGTAATGAGTCACCCTGATGATGGGGGCAGCAAGGACCTCTGAAATGTTGATAAACTTCTGCCAGACTACATGGTGCTGCAACAAGTTTTTTTTATTACTTTTTAAGTAATTTCTTTGTTAAGGTGTAGCAGTTGTTGAAAAATGTTTAATTTAAAAAATAAGATAACCTTTCAAGCTTAAATATGATTCCTTTTATATGGTATTATGGACGTTAGCACTAGTACAAGAAAGATGCAGTGAGCATGTAAAATATATTCTTAGTTTCCTTGCCTACAGATTAATTTCTGACTAATGAAGTCTGATGTGGTAAATGGTTATACTTTCATTGTTTTGACTCTTTGATTACTTATGCTGATGAGTAGAAACATCTGCCTTACTTTATTTTCAATATAGGAACTGTCTTTGTTTAGTACTCTTAAATATCAGTTTATAAAATTTGTTTAAAAATATAGGCACTGAAATAAGATATAATAATAATGGAATGTACCAATCTCATGCTGTAAACAAATTTATGCTTATCTTCACAATGATGATGATGATGATGATGACGATCAAGATCAGGTGATATGTAATTATATTCATAGACCTCAGATATAGGTAGAAGGTCAGATTGGGCACATTCCAGGTTTATGTAGAAATCCAATTGTCTTTGATACATATAAACCACAAATACTTGTTCATGCTATAAGAATGAAATTGTGAATGCTTCAAATTTATTTGAGAGTGATTGTAGGGGGTCAAACAGTGTTACTGGGCTGACCTCTCCTATCAAGAGTCTGACCACCTACCCCTCCCTGTGGCAGCAGAGAAGTTGTCACAGTTACTGAGAAATCGGTTTATTATTAAATATCTGTCGATTGTAACGTATACTTCATGTAAGCCACAGTGGGATCACTCATGTACTTAACACAGCATAGGATGCACACTTGCCAACTCTGAAAATAATTGGCAACCCTGTGAAGTCATAATCAGCATGGAGATGTACAGCCCATGCAAACCAATATTCTTAAGTCTTATTTCACGTTCAGATGCAATGTTATTCAAAATTCTAGTCATAAAGAAACATTTTCACTTTTTATTTGATTTAGTCCTCTTACATTGGGCCTTATGCAAACTGTATTTATGTCTGTGTGGATATACTGTAAAAGAATGGCGTGGTACATTGATCATTTCAGCATATAATCAGTTTATTTTAATTTTGTTTTTCCATTACACCACAAAATTTGTTTATATAATTTCAAGTAAATTTCACACTGATGTGCAAAACTTCCTCATAGGAACACTACATATGTTGCCCAACAAATTATTTTGACTTTTATCCAGTAATATTTCACAGCTATCAAATATGTAACCTAACAAAATGGGTTAGAAGACCATCTTATTGCAATTAAACTGATTTTCACTTTTTATCAGAATGTCAAAATGTGTGTGATGTATGGAGTAGTATGATTGTGTGGTATTTGAATGTATTAATTTTTCTAAGACTACATTTGTCAGGTTTGCTGGAAAATAGAATATTATAGTTGTACCTCAGTAGCATTTTGGATAGCTTCAAGTCTTATTACAGAATGAATCAGTATCCTCTGTCCATTGATAATTGCTATGCTATTTGTAGATTTAACTTCAGTTATAACAATTATAAATTAAATAAAATGTACATCTATTTTTGGGAGGGTTATCTGTGGCCTTTTTATCAGTAACAAAGTAACACATTCTCTGAAGCCTGGTATGAGCCTGGTCAAGGAGATAGGAATTCAAGTACGAAAAGCCAAAGGTAGGACTTACGCACTGTTGCATCCTTTAGAACAATGCACGAAGACTTTAAGGCTCTTGTGTATAATTGTGTCCTTGTCTTTTTAGGTATGTATGTAGCTATGTAGTTTCATTTGGTGCACAGTCCACTCTGTTACTTCGGTAAAAATTCAAGAGATGTGCATTTTGTTAATACATAAACGAGAAGTAAGTTGTAAAAAGGGGGATTTTTTAATGTCTTCAATTAGTTTAATAAATATTACCTTAGGATCTAAGGTATATTAAGTTTTGTTAAATTTTTTACTTTTTCTGCTCTATTTAATTTCTCTTTTGTAACCTCAGTGTACATACAAAATATGATTTGTGTAAATAGAAAATTGTTTATAAGGAACAAGAACCTTTATTAGGATTTCATCTACATATGTAATATGAAATGACAAGAGTCATCCACATATACAAAAACTTCTGTAGTAATGTAGTACTGTATTCAAAATATATTACTTAGGATTCCTGTGGCTTGTATTGTATGTAGATGTTGGTGTGAGAATCATTGCAGAAACTGAAAGGCATGAACAAGGTGTTGGCCTAAAAGTGAGTAAGAAATAGACACACATTAAAGTAAGTACTTTTATGAAACAAAATAAGCCAGCTTGCACCTTTGGATAAGTAATTATAATTTTATTTATGCTTTGGACTTCATCACTACATCAATAAATGTCTTTCGCAGGGAAAACAGGTGGTACCCCATGCTTGCTGTTCCATATTGTAAAGACTAGCAAACAAAAGGTTCTTTCAAGGCAGATTAGATATTACTCTTCTAATTTCTAGAAACCCTGTTGGCATTTCTATTTTAAGAACAAATAAGATCAAGAACAAAACATATTATACAGCCATTTTCTTAGCAGAATGAATTATACAGAGGACAATTCTGCACATTTCTTGTAATTATAAATAAAAGGCAAAGTCATCAGTAGGGTAGCAGGTAAGAAAGCACATACTGTCGACACTGTAAACATTTTTCAGTGACAGTACTTTGTAGCTTGCTGTCTCTGCTCCTGTGTCAGTAATGTCTTTGGTTTGTGTACTGTAAGCATTTGTTTTCATTCTACCTACTAGCTAGAAATGTAGGCAAAATGCAGAGTTTTGTCCTGGCCAATACACTAATGTGAAATGAATGTCAGATATGTTGTTTGAAAGTATATACAGATTCCCAATTGCATTTCCAGTGTCCTGTTAATGACTTCATTTCTATTGAAGGAATAGTGTGGATGAAGTATTGCTTATTTTTCTGTAAAGTGTAATGCTGAGCTTTTCAATTAACCCATATGTTAAATTTTGTACTTTAGAAAAATGAAAGGTACTTTTTTTAATATACGCACACAGTGATACATAGTGATTGTCTGAAAACTGATGGACCTTTCAGTTTCAGTATGTGTGTGGCATGTACCATTGTTAAGTTCCATACATTTGACCTTTTTGCCAGTAATTAATATATTTGAGACCAAACGACAATACATCTGATGTGTCCTTATATTTATCATAAGCATTAATATGAACAGACATGATTATCATGAATTTTAAAACTATCCTTACCATTAGTTCCTTCAGTAAGTTAATAGACTGCTGATCGCTGGTTTGTAATGAAACAACAATTTCAGAATCTCAATGAGGAATTTTATGACAAGCATTTTGTAAATGTAATATAAAAATTCTGTGTCAGCAACAATAGATTGGATCACACACAGACAATACCAGCTGTTAGCATTTGTTTGTCTAACCTTTTAAGTGCTAATTTAAAAACAAGATGGTGTAAATCTCTTTAATTTTTCACACTTACAAAACATTGAAATAAATTTGACTGTACTACATAATACAGGTAATGTATGTAGTATGGTATTAGATTGATGGACTCTGAGCATAATTTGGAATGTGTGTGGATAATATTTTTAGTTATTGCTTGTTAAAAAATCTCTGGAAATATTCAAATGGAGTTATGATAAAATACCACATTTTTAATCACATCTGTTACTTCATGTCTTAAGAAATTTATATGCTTTGTCTTTAGTGAGTGTGTAGGGAGAGGGCATGTTTTTGCAAACATAGTAATTAATATTCAGGTTCCATAAAAGGTGGATAACATGTTAACCTGAGTGACCGTTATCATCGTAGAATAACGTTTGTAAGTATCTGACATGAAACACTGATGTATAAATTCTTTGGATACTGAAGTTATTATAGACCAAGGTGGTGGATGGCCCGCTAGGTTTGTCAGGACTGTTATGTTCAAGGGCATTGAATGCTGTAAGACTTATGATACCCCTAATTTCCTTGTGAATGTAATTTTAACAATTCAGAATTGCATTCATAGTGAAATTAAGGGCAGATTCAATTCAAGGAATGCTTGCTGCCATCAGTTCAGAAACTCCTGTCTTCCCATGTGCTGTCTAGAAATGCAGAGATTGAAATAAAACAAAACAAAACAAAACAAATTTTACATGTTACAGGTGTGAAATTGAGTCTCTCACATTAAGGAAAGAACACATATTATGATTAAGAAGAGTGGACGTAGGATGGATGAAGTGATGGGAGGATGGAGAAAGCTGCATAATGAGGAACTCCATAGTTTGTACACTTCACAAAATATTATTGTGATAAATCAAGGATGAGATGGGCAGTGCATATTTTGGGGAGATGAGAAATGCATACAAAATTTTTATTGGAACGCCTGGAAGGAGAGGAAGGAACCACTTGGAATACCTAAGCGTACGTTAGAGGACAATATTAAAATGGATGTTAGGAAAACCAGGTTTGTGGGTGTGGACTGGATTCATGTACCTCAGAATAGGGACTGGTGGTGGGTTGCTGTGAATGTGGAAATTTGGTTTCATAAAATTCGGGAAATTTCTTGATTAGCTATGCATGCTATTGAAGAAGGATGCTACTCCATGGAGTTTATTTTCCATGTTCTCTATGAAAGGCCTGATGTATGGTGTGGGGCAGCATTCATTCATAATTTTTAAAGATATACTAGTCAACCACAGTTTATTCATCTTTATTCAAAATAATTTGAATTGAAAGACAAGTGTTTGCCATTGTTGATGAACATTATCATCTTCAACTTGGGGAGTAGAACCCATCATAAGTTTTAAACCCTGACTATTATTTTATCATCATCTTTGTTTCATTACTTCTATTACAGAATTATAGAACTTAAGTGCAATTTTAGAAGAGGAAACAGTTATTACTGGATCTTTATGTAAATGTAAATTAGTGTTGTAACAAAACATATTTTAAAGAAATGAAAGATACCATATTAAGCTTATGTGATTGATTTTATATTAATTCACAAGAACTGAAATTTTGGTATGGAATGAAGATTAAGCACTGTTGAATATTGCGGTAAATTTCTTATGGAAGTTCAAGAATGTTCATCCCAGATGAAAGTCATTGTCTACATGATGAAACAAAATCACTATTGTAAGGCTCTCTTAATCAATGTATAGAATTTAATACAAAGTGCAAAGCTAAGGATGGGATGAACAGTAGATCATAGAAAGACATGGACTTGATCTCCTACCCCTCTCTCACTTATTCAAGTCACTGTCTATAAGTATAAAGAAGTATTGCTCATACTGTAATAAAATACCATCGTGTTATCCAGAAAGTATGTCTAATGCCATGGGTACGGCATGCCATTTCTGTAACTTGGTGCCAACTCTAATGGAGTTTTTCCATTCTTGTCACGTACAGTAATGTCTGCTCCATTTTGTATGAGAAGATCTGCTGTTTTCTGTTGTCCAACTTTCTCAGCCCAGTGCAGTGGGGTTTGATTCTCGTCACTAGTGGCAGCATTTATATCTGCTCCTCCGTCTAATAGCAGTTGGACCAAGTCCATTGATCCCAGTGCTGCTGCTTCATGAAGTGATGTCCTGTTATCACCATTAATAACTCTGGCATTAACCGCAGCTCCTCTGTCCAGGAGAAAATGAGCTATTTCCAGCCTCTTATTATGCACAGCTGAAAATAATGGTGTGGCTCCCAGTCTATTCCTAACATCCACTGTAACTCCATTATCCAGCATCCAGTTAACTATGTTCTCATGACCATACGCTGCAGCTAAATGAATAGGGAGATCTCCAAATTGGTTTACAGATAGTGCAGTCATATTTGCTCCATACTGCACTAACAACATCACAAGCTGCAGGTTTCCTGCAATGGCAGCTCTTTGCAAAGCTGTGTATCCTTGGTTGTCCACTGTATTAGGATCTGTTCCTGCTTCCAGCCACATTTTTACCACTATGGGATCTCCATATGTGACTGCCTCTGGCATAGACCACCACCTGTAGATGCCATTGCAGTTGTTCTGCAAGAATGTTAGGAATTGCAACAGGTCCTTCTGTTCAGCTTCCTAGAAAAAAGTTGTTAAGTTAATTTAAAATTGAAATGTTCTAGTTGAATAATTAAAGCATGTAATGATCTAGCCTGCAAGTACATATGTAGAATCTTAAGATTGATAATACTTGCTGGACTTCGTCTGCAATTACCCTTGAGTAAAAGTGCTTCAAGTATGAGATATTTTGTCAAAATATTAATATAATCATTCATTGATCTGGCAAATAAGTAACTACTGACATATTTTAAAATTTACTTTTCTCAGTTTGATCTACAACAAACCTTTATTTGGAGAGGAACAAAACTGAAGTAAGACTGTGTTTTCAGCTTTCAAAAATATGAAATACTTTAATAGGCCATTTTCTTTGTTCAATGTTAGCTTGTTTAAAATTAATATGCAGCTGATTTACTGTATGAAAATATTACATGGAAATGTTATAGGTGTCATTTGAAACTGAGAAAGAATAGGAATTGAGCAGGAAGGAAAAATACAAGGAGACAGTAGAACGTTGGAGAAGGGAAGATGGACAAAAGGTTGGAAGATTGTAAAATCTTATAGAATTATCTGAATTTTATGTAAGATTTTAGATTTTCACATTGATTTTATACAGTTTTCAGAGTTTTTCTTTTGGGTTATGTTGTCATGCAATAGTGAAAAAGGTTTCCAACATTTTGGAGGAATATCCTGCCTCCATCTATAGAGTAGAAGTGATAAGACTGGAAGAGATGGTTGTAGTGAATGTTAGGCTGGGGTTGGACTGCCAGGAGACACAAATAATAATATTAATTTCAATTTAATGTGCCTGATATGCATTTGTCTCCCTTGTAATAAAGAACTTTATTTGTAAATTTTGTTGCAATGTGAAGTACACTTCTAATGTGGGAAAAAATTCACATAGAAATGAACTGTGCATATTGTCTTTGTATTTTAAATTTAAACCGTTATTTTTATTAAATTGTTATACTCAGAAAGTTGTATGTATATACTAACCAATTTCTGCTCTGCTTTCTTCAACTGCTGTTGCAAATTCTTTATTAGAGTATTATTCTCCAAGCTTGATGTAAGGTTTTGTAGTTGAATTGTCTTGTTTCTCAGTTCTGTGAGTAGGTTGGAGATGATAGTAGAACAGTTTTGTTCACTGATACTTTGATTTATCAATTTTGAATTAAGCTTTTGGATATAATTTGTTTGAGTCTTGAGTTCCATTGATAGGTTTAATGAATGTGTTACACACTTATTAAGTTTGTCTTCTAACTCATTATCCTGTAATTTTGAAGTTAGATCTTGTATCATGTTTGATTTGTTATTCAATTCCTGGAGTAAGATAGAAGAATTATCTAAACATACTTCCAATTGGTCTTCCAGTTTATCCATATTCAGTATCTGTTTTCTTTGGTTTTGCAGTTCTACTAACATAGAGGAAGAAATGTCAGAACAGTTTTGTAATTTCATATCATAATTGTTCTTATTCTCCAGTTCGAGTTCATGTATTTCTCCAGTCCTGTTTTCCAGTTCCAACTGTAATACTGTTAAAATGCTGGTGCAGTTCTGTAGCTGTACTTGACAGATTTCTTCCTCTGTTAATCTAGTTTTTAAGTAATTTATCTCACGTGTTTTGTTTTCTAACTCTGATACTTGTTTACTTCTTTCAGTGGAACAGTTTTGTAACTTGACTTGTAAAATATCCCTTTCTTTCAAGGTGGATGTTAAAAATTGTATTTCCCTTTTTTTATTATTTAATGTTAACAGACTGCAGAAAGTCTCATATGAACAGTTTTGTAGTTTTGTAGTTGTTTGGTTATGCAAGTTCAAGGTGGAGCAGTTTGTTGTTTGGTTTTTCTCATGCAGTAATTTAGAAATCTCGCCTTTCAAATTACTTATATTAGTCGTTAATTTTGAGAACTGAAATGATGAATGATTTAAACAGTTATGCAATTGCATTTCCAAAATATCTGTGTATTGTAATTTGGACATCAGTTCTTGCACCTCAATTGATTTGTTTCTTAATTCGAACTGCTGTTCTGCTTTCTCAGTGGAACAGTTTTGTAGCTGAGTTTTTAAAGTATCGCGTTCCTTCAGTAGAGATATGATGAACTGTATTTCATTTGTTTTATTATTTAATGGTAAAAACGAAGAGGATGAGTTATCAGAACATGACTGTAATTTTGTTTCCATGCCTTGTAATTTTGACACCTGTGCTGTCAAATTCTCTATTTTGTTTTTTAATTCAGAGGAGAGAATTGATGAATAAGTGGAACAGTTTTTTAATTTTATTTCAAGAATATCCCTTTCCTTCAGATTCAGTGCCAGTTGCTTTGAGTCATTTCTTAATTTTAGTAATATGGCTGAAGAGAAAGTGGAACAGTTTTCCAGTTGAGTTTCCAAAATATGCTTGCTCTCCAAGAAGGATCTGAGAATCTGTGTTTCGCTTCCATTATTACCGAACACGGACGAGTTGGGCATTAAAGTACAGGTTATGTTTTCTAACTTTGCCTCTTTATTCTCCAGTTTGAAAATCAGTTCCTGTATTTTATTTTCTTTGTTTTTAATTTCTGACAAACAGACAGCTGAAAGATTTGTGCAATTTTGTGATTGGTTTTCTAACAAAATTGCACTCTTCACTCTGGATTTCATCGTATTAATCATCCTTGTCTTTCTCTTTAGTTCCAAAAGCCTAGAAGAAGATACGTTGTTGCATGACTGAATTTGAATTCTAAGTCTATTAATTATTTCTTTTTGGTTCTTTACTTCATTTATCAGTTGTACTTCTTGTCTCATTTTGCTCTCTAAATACTTCTCCAACTGTTCTTCATGTTCCTGAAGGTTGATCATGTTTAACCTCATTTGATTGACAAGAATTTTTTGGTTTTCCATTAGTGCCATCAATCTGAAATATATGCTGTTTTCACTATCAAGAAATTGTTTTCGCTGAAGATCGTGTTTTTTTCTCTCCAAATTTTCATAAGAAATATTTATTTGATCCCATGTAGGCGTTTCATATGGTATCCTATATTTAAACTTCTTGGTGTGCATTACCGGACTCTCAATTTGTGTTTCGTTCTCTGTGGAATTATACAGTTCTTTATGTAATGAATTTAGACTCATAAACCATGTGGCAAGCATTTCCAAGTTCTCCGTAGAATCATTTTCATTTTCCTCTTCATCAGTGTTAACATCTCGTGTTGACTGTACCAAGTTTTCATAATTCTGTATTAGCTGTAGGATCTGTAATACCATAAGCTGAAGATGAGGATCTGATGATAAAAACTGGCTTAATAATGCGTGGAATGAATCTGTAGACATGTAAGGTGTCAGAGTTGTGTCAGAAACTTGAAGAGGTGTGGCAAGTGATGACTCCATTATTTATAAGACTGCTGCAGGTGAAAATGTGAAATATGAAATCAGTATTTTGTAACATTGTTTTTAACAAATATAAGGTAAAAACTGTTCTGTAATAGGCATATAAACATGAAATTATATGAAGGGGGAATTTGTACAATTGTAGGATCGTGGTCTGGTGGGCCACTACCAACCACAGCTGAGCATTTGCCACGGTGATGATGATTTACTTTAGGTTCGAAAACAAGGCGACATTTTTTGATCAACTGATGAACTATCAATAATTGTTCACCAAAATGCTGTATAATGGAGTATTTTTGTGTATGTCAATGACGAATTATTCTACAACAGCCGCAGTGTGGGTTTGTTGTAAAACTTGTTCCTTGTGAATGTAATGTAAAAGAAAACAAGTACTGTCAGGTGACAGAAAATTTCAGACCGGTTTACCACGTGTTGCTCATATCACATTCCGTGAGTGGGACAAGGTTAAAGATATGGATGATATTAGAATATATTCTTTACTTAGGAAGTAGTGTTGTTTTAAATGCTAACGTGCTGTGGATAAGAACTTTCTTCGAGACCAGCCAAGAAGCCGGGTGAGACATGAAGCCCTAGAGTAACGACGAGGGAACAGCAGGAAGTTAATGGTGAAATTTTGATTTTCACGGAAAACTGAAGTGTTCGTAGGGGAAAACCTTCTTCAGTGTCACTTCGTCCGCCACTTCTCATTTGAAGTCATCAGAGACTGAACCCGGATCTCCGACGTGGGAAGCCAACGTCTAGTCGCCTGAGCTGTGGCACAGGACATGAAATTTCTGGCATAAAACTAAATGTAATATAAGTATCCATCTTAAAAAACGAGACTTAGGATACCCGGAAATTGGCAAATAAACTTAAGCACAAAATAATTTACCACGCAAAAATATTAATATGTCTGTCTTCTGGGATTTTGTGCTGTGTAGTCTGATATATGTTGACCGACGTTTCAGAGGTGCTTACTCCAACACTCATTACCCTGATCTGAAAACGGCGGCAGTAAGCTCCTCAGAAACACCGGTTATTATTTTTACAGACTGCCTCCGTGCAACATCACAGAAGACAGCCAAATTCATGTTCGTCGCCATGAAATCCGCAAGTCCCACACACTCGATCGTAACACCCGTGTTCTATCTAACTCGATCAACTTGAGAGCAGGGTCTTTCGTGAATAGTCGCCCAGGTTGTCAAGAAATGTCCCGCCATGTACAGAATTCGAAGGTTCATTACTGAATTCACAAAAGCCCGCCATTGGACCCAGCTGACATACTAAAACTATATTTATTTAAGATCCATTGAATATTTTCTCTCACGCCTTCTGCGTGTCCCGCCCATCTCATCATTCCTGACATGATCGTCCTAATACTATTTGGCGAAGATTATAGAATCCCTAATTATGTAATTTTCTCCACTTCCTCTCACTTAGTTTCGAATATTCTCTTAAGTACTGTGTGCTCAAACGCCAATCTATGATTTTTCTTTAAGAAGAGAGACCACGCCCTAGCTTAATATGGCGAGTAGAATTATGCTTATAGATGTGGGGAGTCATGTAGGTGCCTCCGCATCATATGTAGTTTCCAAAACTATTTAACTTTAGCCAATTTGAGGTGCGGGTTATATACCAAAAGTAGTCTGTCGGATTTAATCTTGGTTCGTATCGACCTCACATGAAGGTAAGTGCAACCTTTGTCTATTTTATTAAAAACAGTTCATCGGGAGATAAATTGTGCATGACATAACACTTATATTCCATAAGTACTCACACAAAACTTCTATATGTGTACAAAACTTATCTGTGAAACATTTTTAAGTCTAATATATGACGAAGTACAAGTAATTTATGTTTCAGTACTATGTTACCGTTTTTTGGCTTCACAATAATGCATATTCCGATAAATTGGCACAAGTCGAATGGAGTGTACAAAAAACTCATTTTTGTGCTGAGTTTATTCACAATACAGAAGTAGACCATAGAGCGTTTACTATCGTATAAGCATGCTTGATAAATTCAATAATTTCGGGAAAAATCGTTGGCTGCCTTTGATGTAGCGCTTCTATAAAAAACACTCACCAG